GTAATAAATACAGTTATAGTAGAATAATAGGCCTATACATAGAATAGGCATACACGCAGGATGAAATGTAACGTAGCGTACTGTACGTAGTGAATGTTGTAGAGGTCAAGGGTGAACGCGTTTCTGGAGCCGTGAATGCGTTACAGAACCTTAATGTCACCGCATTACCTTCCGAAGCACGGCGGAAAAACCTGTAAAAAAAAAAATCATTTTTACCATATTTTGGATAATGACCGTACTAAAAGTTGGTTTCTATTGATTATTAAGTAGTTTTCTACTCTCGTGTGGTAATATTTTTATCATTTTTGCACCCGTGTGGTCGCGAGCGGTCCCGAGTGGTCCCGTGTGGTCGCAAGTGGTTCCGTGTGGTATTTAGTAGGACCGCTAGCCTAGGCCTATACGGATGTTGACATATTGGGCGTAGGGTATAGCCTAGGAATACCCATAGCCTAGATGCATAGTTAGGCCTACCTCACCCATGTTATTGTTACCTGATCCATCCTCCATGCAGTAGCCTAGGCCTAAACTATTTCTTTTTTAGGTTTTGCTACTTGAAAAGTGTAGGCCTAGCCTAGGTAAGAAGACCTCCCTACTACTACTAGTAACTACTACTACTACTACTAGGCCTAGTAGTAGTACTACCTATCCCCCTGCAGACTGTAAAGTAGGGCCTGCACTGGGATATATCTTCCACTCTAAAATTAGGCCTAGGCCTAGAAATCCATCAGCGCATTTCTGAAAATAAGGGCTGATTTCCGTCCAGATATTTGCAGAAAATTTGGCTTTGACCGAATCTCAATATATAACAAATGTATATTATTATGCAGTAGGCCTAGTTACGATTCTGTTGACATGTTTTCCCACCGATTTTCTGTGCAAATTTGAGCTAGTTTTTGTGGTATCATTCGTGCAATAAAAAAATACTTTACAGTATGGCTCTACCCTGCTTTACTTGAAAATTGCATTATTGTTTGTTTTTATTTTGAATCTATTATGTTGAAAAATACAATACTGTAAGTGATTGAAAGTGAAATAAACATATAAGAAAACAGCTATTAAAAGATGAATTGAATGAATAGAATAATTAAAATATGTAGGCTAGGGCAGGCCTGAGAATACCTTTAATATCTATTTAGTCATTAAATTTTTTCCCTACACTACAGTGGAGTGCAGGATTTGAACAAAAGAAGAAATAACTATTTAAGCTGGGATGATTATTTCATGGCTGTAGCATTCCTCTCTGCACAGCGCAGCAAAGATCCTAGTTCACAGGTAAGCCCTATCTAGCTAGACTATCAAATTTTATTTGACATGCCTAAGTAGGCCTATGGCCATGATGACATCACATCGTGACCATATATAGGCACCATGACTATATATGGGCATACTGCAGTTTTTTGTAGAAGAAAATTTTGTATACATTTTAAATGTAAATTCGGAAATTGTGCTCGTTATTGTACAGTAATTTTTCTTTCTGTATCATGCAATTATTAGGTTGGTGCTTGTATAGTAAATGACAAAAATAGAATTGTTGGCATCGGTTACAACGGCATGCCTACAGGATGTAGTGATCATGAACTGCCTTGGAGGAGGAAAGCTGATAATTGGCTGGACACAAAATATCCATACGGTAATAATTCTTGTTGGTAAAAAAAATAGATGTATTGTTTGTCTATGCAACACCTTACCTTGATAGACACATTTTAACTTTCTGGTTTGTTTCAGTGATGGTGCCAGTGTGGGTCCATGGGGCACAAGACCCTGTCAAGGACCCAGTAGACGTAGGATCAGTAGCCAATAATTTTATATATTCGAAAAACGCTACTTTGAAAAAAAACCAAAAAACTTAAACATAAAGGTCCATGTTCTTCAAATTTGCTCTAACCAAAGTGGGTGTGGTCACCTGCCAGGCACTTTGGATTTCCCATTGCTGACTAAAGCCGGCCTCTGAATGTGCCGTATGACCGTCGATCAACAAATCAAACTTCGTTCCCTGTTAGCGGTAGGTGACGCGACGTCATCTGGACAATTAGTCACTAAAAATGATCCCCAGCTCGTCGCATGCCGTTCTCCAGAGAATCGCGTCAACGCATTGAGTGCCTAGCTTGATAGGTACCCTGTCAAGGACTTTGGACCCCTTCTTTGAAGAGTCTCTGTCACCACCACTGCTAAACTCACATCTATTGGTCTATCTATCGGCTGACTGGCTATAAAGACCATTTCTTTTTCCCTATTTTATTTTTCTTCTGTATTCCTCCTAATGCTTCTATTTTAAAATTTTCAAGTACATCGGGCAAATAATTTGTGAGATATTGACGCGAACAGACAAAAATATATGGCTGCAATACCTTCACCCTTCGAAGGCGGGGATAATTATCGCTAACTTAAAATGTATAAGCCTCTTTGGTTAGCAAGTGGGCCACTTAAAAATGTACAGTATTGTCCCTTGCTAATATCAAAAAATAAACTTGCTCATATTGCAATAGCATACAAATTATTAACTTGTGCATAAAAATTATTAAATTTAAAAAAATGTGTACCCAGATTTTTAGACCAAAAAATTATAATAAAAATAACAAAACACTTCCAGTGACTGGAAGTTTTTCTATCATTTTTTCCGCTGTAAACTGATGGGTAGACATTTTTTAAATACACTACAATAATTTCTATGTTCAAGTTGATAACTTGTATGTTACTTCAAGATGGGCAAGTTAATTTCAAAAAATATTTTTATGATTTTTTATGGTATTTAGCAAGGGACAATACATCTTTAAGCAATGTTTCTATAATAGATTTCCTGTTAAAAATTATGATTACAGTTTGCCATGCGGAAGTCAATGCTGTTATGAACAAGATTTCTGCAGATCTGAAGGGATGCAGGATGTACGTAGCGTTGTTTCCATGTAACGAATGTGCAAAAATTATTATCCAGGCTGGTATCAAATCCGTCATTTATATGTCGGATAAATACCACGATGATGATAAAATGAAAGCCTCACGAAGGCTAATGGACATGGCTGGTGTGGAATTCAGGTAATTCATTAAACAGAGGAATGATCCATTTCAGAATAGGAGTGTTGAAGTTTTATTTACACTTGTACTGCTATACACATAGTCTAATACCCCTCTCACACCCCCTCCCACCATTGTCAATAGGCAACCTTGACTTGCTAGCTATATTATGATTTGTCTAAGCAAACTATAGGAATGGTTTAATTTATTAATTTGTAGAGAAAAGATAAATACTGTATAGTTAAACTTGCCTAAGTCAACTCTGCCTTACTTGAATAATTTCTAAGTCAATCTTATTTTACATTCGAAACTGTTGTGATTTCCAATAATCTTTAGGTCAAATTTTATCCAAGTCAAACAATCTTTTAATGCTATTTTATATTCGACTTAGGCAATTTCAACTGTACATGTAAGCAAATTAAAAAAAACGTGTAGGCTTGACACATTGACCTCTGATGAATAGTGTCCAAAATTTACTACAAACTCGTAAAATGTAATAATGAGCTATTATCATTATTATATAACACTTTTGGTAGAAAATTATAAGCTGCTCTGAGTTTCTTTGCTAATCTTCTTTCCTCCTATGCTTCTTCCATATTTACGTTAAATATAATTTATTTTACTAAATAACATACTTACGCATAATGCTATATAAATCTAAATTATTATTTTTTATCTTCACAGGCATTTCAAACCAACAAACTCCGAAATTGTGATCGATTTCAACTCCATTGACCCTAAAACAGGCAGGAGCCTAGATGAAATGACCATGGAATCTGCTACCAAGCAAGTTTTGGAAAACAATTCACCAAGCATTCCAACATAAGGCGACACTTTTTTTATAGAATGTTTAGCAAACCCACTGCCTGCTAATAATAGGGATTTTGAATAAAAAAGTAGAATTTTATTTTTTGGACAATTGGTGCATCCACTGCCACGAAGAAATGAAAATTCAGAAAAAAATAAAAGTTTTTCTTTACTTTTATTACACCTGCCGCTACTTTGAAATCTCCAAAAATAAGATGTATATTTCTTCCTAGTTATATATATTTAAAGCATTTAACCATCCCATTACCAATAAAATTATTTTTTTATTTTCTCCTCCATCTGGATGTTTTTGGTAAAACTATTTGCTAAATAAAAACCAAAATATTATTTTTATTTTTATTCCACCCTTCTCTGGCGATCTATAAAAAACTTAAGTTCGCAAAACAAGGTATAACAAAGTCACCTAACCATTCATAAGTGAAGATCCTATGATGTATTTTCACTGGAGGTGGTTTACTTAATTTACTTTAATTTACTTGAGGTACCTGTCATGTACTATAAATCAAGTCAAGTTTTGGTGTTGCCATTCATTTTTTGTATAACATTAATATTTCACAGGGTGCTCGCTTAAATTACAAAATTACAAGTTTTGGAGGGACTACCGTTTTTGCTGCTTACTAATGTTGGTAGGAGTATTGTATGTTGTTATGCAAGGTATAAACCAAAAATATAGTTAATTCTAGAAGTTCAAAGGGTGCTCGCTTAAATTACAAAATTACAAGTTTTGGACGGACTACCGTTTTTGCTGCTTACTAATGTTGGTAGGAGTATTGTATGTTGTTATGCAAGGTATAAACCAAAAATATAGTTAATTCTTGAAGTCATCAATTATTTATACAAACGGGAAAAAAATTCAATATTATTTTGAATAAAAAATATATGTTTAAAATTTGCTTATTTGTTTTTGTATTTGTTGTGCCTTATCTTCATCTTTATAATGGTGTTTTTCACACCGCACCTTCAGGCTGCTACGAAGAAGAATGGGGGAGGGGGCCTGTCTGAAGGCCTGTTTATACTTGCAACGATAACGATAAAAAGCTAAGAAGCAATTGTTCATTTAGAAATAAGGGACGTTTTTACGCTAGGACGATTCGATAATGATTTATTGTGTATACTATAAAAAAATATTTTGACAAATCAATTCAGAAGTAGTAGTAACAACGATTTTAATGTTTTTTTTTTCATGATTATGACGTCATTTGAATTGATTTGTCAAAATATTTTGTTATCGTATACAAGATAAATTGTCGAATCGTCCTACTGTAAAAATTTCTTTTTTTTTATATGAACAATTGCTTTTCAGCTTTTTATTGTTACCGTTGCAAGTATAAACAGGCCTTATAGCTGAAGCATAAAAATTGGCGATGATGGAGTTTATAAACTCGTCCAGCCAGAATAATAAAAATTAATAAAATATATTTTAAAAAACTGAATACAAATAAAGAAAATAAAATAATATAAAAAAAAGAATATTGATAACAACATAATGGTTAAGAACACAAGCTAAAGAAAGTCTATGGCCTACACCAATTATTATCGTATACACGATAAATTGTCGAATCGTCCTACTGTAAAAACTTCTCTTTCTTTTATTTTCTATATGAACAATTGCTTTTCGGCTTTTTATTTTTATCGTTGCAAGTATAAACAGGCCTTAAAGCTGAAGCACAAAAATTGGCGATGATGGAATTTATAAACTCGTCCAGCCAGAATAATAAAAAATTAATAAAATATATTTTAAAAAACTGAATACAAATAAAGAAAATAAAATAATATTAAAAAAAAGAATATTGATAACAACAATAATGGTTAAGAACACAAGCTAAAGACAGTCTATAGCCTACACCAATTATTATCGTATACACGATAAATTGTCGAATCGTCCTACTGTAAAAACTTCTCTTTTATTTTCTATATGAACAATTGCTTTTCAGCATTTTATTTTTATCGTTGCAAGTGTAAACAGGCCTTAAAGCTGAGGCATAAAAATTGGCGATGATGGAGTTTATAAACTCGTCCAGCAGAATAATAAAAAATTAATAAAATATATTTTAAAAAACTGAATACAAATAAAGAAAATAAAATAATATTAAAAAAAAGAATATTGATAACAACAATAATGGTTAAGAACACAATCTAAAGACAGTCTATGGCCTACACCAAATTATATACAGTATTACACTGGTTTATGAATTTTATACTTTCCACATTTCTAATGTACACTACTGTATAGTATGCCTTTTTGTTATTTTAATCCTGTGACCGCAATGCAAATAACTTTGTGGCTATTGTTACACCAGTCGTAAACCAAACCCTGTACCTGTAAGTTATTTTTTATGTTTGTGTGTCATACCATAAAAGAAATGCTTTGAAGATGAGATGGTCGTCATCAAGAATACGTTAATTTATTAAGTTTCGAAATACAACCAGTTGAAGATGTTGAGGGGTTGTTTTTTTAAGGAAGTATTTCTTGTTATAAGTTATTTGAAATTATAATGTACTAAAAAATTGTCATAGTCTAGCTTGAAAACTTAATTCGATCCAGACTAGAGTTCTGTACATTTAATGTGAAAAATGTTCATAAAAATAATATCTCAAATTTATATAGTGCCAATACAAAAAAAAGATCAAAGGTACAACGTATGTGAATAGCCACCGGAAAACAAATTGGTCTTAAGCTATGACTTACAGTTGCAAAGAAAGTTGGAAGAAGTTATGTTTTTCGGAAGCTGGTTCCAAAAAAAAAACCAAAAAACAAAGTGAAGTACAATATTGTACTATAGAGGGCGGCAAATAAAAATATACAGTAACCATGTTACTAGAGAGGGCGGAAAACCGAAAAAATGTAATCATCAGGTCATTTATTTTGATTTCTTATTTAAACTGGTGAAGTGTTCAGTAAACATACTGTGTTTTTAGTGCCCGGTATTGAATATCAACCATCGGTAGTACATTTACTAACCTTAGATATTTGAAATGCGTGACTAAACCAGTTGGCTGGTGGAGGGGCGGAGACTGACGGGCCCCTCCGGGATTCATAGGCGGGGGCCCGGTGATGGTCCAGGGGGCGAAGCCCCTGGCGCTCCGACGATCTGAGCCTTTTTAAGCTGTTTTAAATCGATTTCAGGGAGTGTTTGTTGATAATTCCGGGTAGGATACACAAACAGAGATATTTTTAATATAGCCACGTACAATTTGAGTTTCAATGTAATGTTTAATTTGAAAATGAATAGGGATACTGATCAATTTTTAGTAACGCGTCAGTGAATTAAGTATTCACGTAAATACTGTCTAATGACTCAAGTAACTGCATGACCGTTTTTATATTTTTAATAAAACAAATTTCTTTTACTACTTATAAATACATTTTCCCCGGAATTCGTGATAATTCGTTATCACGCATAGACCTGTGGTAAATACGTGACAAATTTATGAACGCATGTGTTTCTGCAAAATGCGTGTTTCAACCAAAAACCGTCTTTGAAATGCGGGACCGTCCCGCACGATGTGAGACGGTTGGTAATTATGGTAGTAAAAACTGGGAAAGAAATTAAATTAAATTATTGCTCATTTATTTGGTCTACAGTGTATTTGGTTTTATATACTCGTGGATACTTATACAAACTATGTTCTAATATGGGAAGGGAAATTAACGACAAATGATGGGGATGGTTTGAGTCTGAGTCTATGACCACCGGATGCCTAACAGTTTCAGCCATTTTAGACGCTATAGGCCTAGTGATGATTTGGCCGACATCGCTTCATAAAGGATATTTCCCGCAATATCCATCAAACTTGACAACCGACCAATCAGAACATGTTATTTAATATCCTGGAATACGCACCCCACAATCAATAAAGTTTACTTAAGCTTAAGGTCCTGCATTTAGCGCCTTATTCAGAAAGATCCATCCACTAGAAAAACAAACATCGTCACACACCCAGATAACTTGTGAAGTCACCACGTCTATCATTTTCAACATTGTATGACGTAACAAAACAATCAATAACTTTAGCAAATTTTATTGCATCCTTGTCCTGGAGAGAAAAAATGTAAGTATTGCCAGGAGAAGAATTCAATATCATAGTTAAGTAAAACCATCCACTAGCGAAACACAAACCAAGGACAAAAATAAGTAAACTAAATATTAACTGCGTGTCCTTCTTACCTGTCTAAAGTTTGTTGGCAACTCTAGAGCATTATACAAAACTGCAGACGTCATGCTGAATTTACGAGCATATTTCTGATAGGCCTCTGCCAATGATGCTGCAGGAACTTTACGATACTCTGGTTTAATTTTCGTGAGGCAGCGTGCCTGTTCGAGTCTGCTGATTTCATCATAAACTGTCAACTGGTGATGACTATCCGGTTGGAAAAACTGTTCGTTATGCTCAGGTTGAACTTCAAAATCAGAGTAGGCTACCCAGTCTAGAACACGATCAAAGTGATCCGGAGCTTTGTTTATATTTCTTTGGATTCTCTTGTGAAATTTAAAATAATCTGAGCTGTAACCTATGTATGCTGATGGTAATCTATGGGCTAAGTAAAAGAGTTGTCGACGTATTTCAATTTGGAACTTGGAAGCTGTGGTCCAATGTGAATACCGAATATTAAGATGTTGGCATACTGTGTATTCATTAGGTAGCTTGGTTGGCTTTGATTCCATTGTTTTCCGTTGGTTTCTGATCAGTTGACGTTTATCTCTAGCCAAGATAGATTCCTTCAAGATCCGTTGTCGCTTTGAACTGATCCTTTGTAGTGTTCGATGGACGTCATTTGCTCCATCTCGTTCACAAAGCTTGTCTTTGAGGTAATTCGTATAATCGTAAGCTATAACAGTATAGAAATATTTAATACAATTTGTGTCTTACAAACAAATATAATTCATTTTCAATTCGCAATACAGCAAAATATTTAATGGGACTTTTTTTGTCCATTGTTTAGCGAACTTTTTTAAAGATCGTCAAAGGCGGGCGGGAAAAAATTAAATAAAAGTTTGTTTTCTCATTGAGCAAAACGATCTTGCCAAAACCATCTAGGCGGAGGAGAAATTAAAAATAAAATGGTATTAATGAATTAAACAGTGTCGAATTGAGATTGATAAATGCTTTAAATTTATATAATTAAGAAAGAAATATCTTATTTTTGGAGATACCGGGGATCAGAGGTCATAATAAATGTATTATAATAAATTTATAAATATAGAATTTTATTTTTGTTATGAAACGTCCATTTTTTTTTTGTAGCGGAGGGTGCACTAACTGGCAAAAAATGAAATTTTATTTTGATTCAAAATGACCTTGTTTGGAGGTCGGAGGGTTCGCTAATAACGTATGAAAATAGTCTGGCCGTAATAGCTTTAATCAAATCACATTCCACGTGGAATGGTAAAAAATAATCGATTTAAACAAAAGTGTAATTTACCTATAGGAAGGCCGAATTCTCTGAGTATTTTATTATTTCCCATCATCAGTAGCTTGACTCTTTCTTTAGCTTTTGCTATGGCAGTTTCGTCCTGAAAGAAGTGGCAATTAAGTAAAGGTAAGAAATAAAAAAAAAAGTTTCATTTTTATTGTTATAGTTTCATAAACATTTCAATCAATTTACAGCCAAATACTTATTGCTTGTAAATCAGAGTGTGACATCATTCTGATTAATTATTATTTAATTGAACGTTTTGCCAGATTTTTTTTACAGACATCTTTAAGAATAATGAATGGATTATTTATTAGGCTTACCTGTTCATAGTTTGCAGGCATCTCAAGAGAATTGTACATAAGTGCAAATATCATGCTGTCTTTACGAGCATATTCCTGGTGAGTCTCTGCCAATGATGTTACAGAAAACCTTTGCTCTTTGTTGATCTCAGTAAGGTCACGTAATAACTCTAGT